TGCTTCCCACTGTCTTTTTTGCTGCTTCCCTGTCTCTCCAGCTGCCATCTCTCGTCTCTGGGTCAGCAGCTCTCTTTCTCTGTTTCTGTCACTGTCTCTCTCCCATTCTTCTATGTCTTTCTTTCTCACTCATCAAAGCGCTTTCCACATCCCCTCCCCACCCACCGTTTTGTCTTAAGTATTTCCCTGTGGGTCTCCATACCCAGGCGGAAATTTTCAACCAAATCAAAGGCAGCAAGACAGACAGAGCCCACACTGACGCTGACTCCTTCGGCTTACACAGGGAGAAAGGGAGTGACTGGGGAAGTCTGGAAACTTGCCCCAGAAGTGGGCAGGCCTGGCAGAGGGAGCAGCAGGTGGTGACAGGGCTGGGCCCCTGTAGGAATGAGGGTGTTTCTTACGGATCCCAGATGTGCTGGGTGGGCTCTATCCTCCTTCCCCGAAGGTCTCTGTCCCTCCCTTCCTGGATCTCTAACTGCCCAGGTTTCTGTCCCCCTTCCCCCCTCCCCCGGCCCTCTCTGTGGGTCTCTCTTTCTCTAAAACTCTAAAACTGAACTTCTATTTCCCCTCCCCCATTTCTGCCCTCCTGTCTGTGCGTCCTTACCCCGCCACAGACACACACTTCTCTGAGTTTCTGTGCCCCTCCTGAGGTTTTGGTCCACCTATATCAAAGTCCCTGTCCCTGTGTGCCTCGGTCTGTTTCTCTATCCATCTTCACAGCCGCAGGCCCTCCATTGGCTGGGTTCAGCGTGGGCGGGTTCTGTCACCTGGGGCAACAGCAACAACAAGCCTGCTGCTCCTTGGCCACGGGGCGTGGATGGGACCATGGCGGGTCGGACCCTCGCTCTGCGCTGTGGCGCTCCCTGGCCCCCGATCTCCGGGACTGAAGTGCCTGGATCCTCGCACATCTGGCATCTCACGAGCAGTGGTGTCGCCCACCACATTATCCCATCCGCGCCCTTTCCCCCGCCCACTGTGCAGGTGAGAGGACCCTAGGCTCCCGCCCAGAGGAGCCTGGAAGCCGCGACTCCTGTGTCTGAAGGAGGGACCTGGGGATCTAGACACCTGCTGAAAGAAAAGGGGGTCGGGGGCTTGGGCTCCTGACAGAAGGAGGAAGGTCCCCCGGAGTCCCGCATCTGACAGAGGAGGGGCCAGGGAACCTGGACGCCTGAGACCGGAGGGAGGAAAGGGCTGGGAACCGGCTGAGAGAGATCGGGAATGTTGGACCGGAACCTGCGTCTTTTAAGCTGACGGCCCACGCCTTCTGCCCAGTCCACGCTAGCGGAGCCCCTGCCCCCGTCCGCAAAGCAGGACTTGCACATCTGGGCTTTCGACGAGGTCATCAATACATGGGAGACAACCTCCGGCTCGGCTCATGTGCCCAAAACCCACGGCGGGCCCTACGCGCAGCCCCGGGCCCCAGAGCCTGCAGACCCCACGCGGATTTTAGGGATCAAGGATTTAGGGGAAAAGGTAAGGTTCAGGGATGCCGAGGTCCGCGGGGGACAGGGCCGGGGACCACACTGGGGTCCCGTGCGCCCTCACCTGGGGTCCCCGCGCGGCATTCTCGCAGCTCAGACACCGCGGCTGGTGCCTCCCTCCGATCGCAAAACACCAGTGCAGTGAGACCAGGGCGCAGTACACGGGCTGGCCCGACCTGGACCAGAGCGCCGCCTTCTGCATCTGGCCGGGCCTGGACCAGAGCGCCACCTTCTGCATCGGGCCCCAGCCCCTGGAACTTGCAGACCACCACCGCGGGGGCCCTTCCCAGGTAGCGGAGAAGACCGCGCGGGCGCGGTGGGACGGAGCTTGCAGTGCCTGGGGCGGGACCCGAGGGCCTCTAACGCGAGGGACCAGACTTGGAGACACTGGGGCTGGGCCAGAAGGAACTTGTAGTCGGGGCGTGGCTAAAAGGTCCGGCGGAATCCGGAGAGTATAGAGACTGGGGGAGGAGCTTGGACGTATTGAGGCGGGGCCAGAAAGGAGAAGTGACTGAATCCCCGAAATCCCAGCTTCGAGGTTAGGGGCCCAACTAGTAAATGCCCGGGTGGGTTCTGGAGGGGCGGGTCCTGGGGCTGGGGCGGAGCCAGGCAGCGGACTGTATATTCTGGGATCGGCCTGAGCGGGAGACGGGGCTAGGCTATTTGGGGCGGGGTGGGGGGGGATAGGATGAAGCCCCAGGTGCAGCTGAATTCCACGCGCGGGACGAGGAAGGCTTGAGTCTAGGGGCTCGGTTTTGTTAGACGACAGGCAGAAGGTGTTTGGGTTTTGGAGTAATCCTAGAAGGGTTCTTTCTGTTTTGGGGAGCGTGCACTGGCATGCTGCTGGTCAGGAGGGATTCTGATTCTGGGGGCGGAGGTGGGGGGCCTGGTCCGGAGCAGCTGTTGAGGCCGAAGAAAGAGGAATTCTCAGTCTGGGACCCAAGGCTTCAAACGGGATATGAAACCCTCCTGCCTGATCCTCCTCAGGCTCTAATTCCCTGGACGAGGAACCCTGAGCTGGCCGGGAGACTTTTCACAGTATCTGACAAGGGCGTCCTGGACCGCCATCAGCTCTATCTGACCACCTCGGCCCGGGACTTCCGAGCTTACTCGAAGTGAGCCTGGGTCCTTGCGTGGCACCGCCCCCCGCACAACCCCCGCATAGGCTGGTGGAACGCCCAGCACCCCGATGTCAGCTCCCCCTCAGTAGTCTCAGCTTTCAGCTCCGGTACGCGCAGGTACCGGTTCAGGCCCAAGCCCCTACCTTTTAGGGTCCAGGTGTCCTTAGTGTTAACTCTCAGGAACGTGAAACCTGTGGAGGGCCCAAGGGGGAGTTCTGGATCTGGGGACAGGGCCTGGGGCGGGGCGGGGCGCACTTTGGCATCCCCAGATGCTCTTTCTCAAGGATGAGAAAACGCCAAACTCCAGGCCCTTAAATACCTTGAGGACCTAGGAATCCAGGCTAGGAGTTCCCAGCCCCGGCCTTTGTAAGTGGTCTCCGACCCCTACAAATGTGTCCTCACCTCGAAACGCAGAAGTTTGGGTCCGTACCCTCCTCAGAACCGGAGGTCTGAACCTCAGCCTCGTCCCAAGGATCCAGCTGCCCCCTCCCCATCCTGCCTCCTCTCAACAGGAAGGAGTTGTCTGGGTACCCCCGCAAGGACTTGCTGACTTACTGGAGCTTCAAGGAGACGCCCAAGGCCTGGAGCCACTGCGCCCAGAGGCCTCCCCAGGCCCCCGGGCTCCGCGTGACCCGAGTCCACCCCGTAACGCCAGCCGTACCGCACCGCGGGCAGCTGTCCCTGGCTCAGGAGTCCTACAGGCCCCCGCTGCACCCGCTCCGCCGGCTTGACCGTTTCTGCCCGCTGGAGCTGCCCTGGGGCGGCCCCCACTGGCAGCCCGTGCCGGGCATCTACAGCGTGCCGCAAGCCTACCGCTCCGAGAACGCCAGCTACGGCAGCTCGAAGCCCGCGCTGGTCTGAGGCCCCGCCAGCCCCGCCCAGACACGCCCCCGAGCGGGGCGGGACCGGGCTCCAGAACCCCGCCCACAGGGGGGTGGGTCGCCGTGGGGCACGCCCACTCATTTGTGGGGGCGGGACCGGGCCGGGAAAATGTACTTCGGGGCCGTGGGCCTGCCGGCGGGGACACGTCCCCTGCGGCAGAAGGGGCGGAGTTTATTTTAGGCAATGACAGATAAACAGCCTACGCCACGCCGTTTGCTGGGTTCCACTCTGGCATCCTGGCTTCCGGGGGCCTGCGTATTGGCGAAATGGGGCTCCCTGTGGAGGGGGACGCACCTGGGTGCACACGAACTCATCCCTAGCACAGAATCCGATATTGAAGCGGAGCCCTAAGAGGTTGGACTCTGGCTTCCAGTCTATGAGAGGTGGAACAGGGTTAAGGCCTGCGCGCATCGCCATTCGAGGGTGAGGGCGAGCTCTAGCCTCTCCCTGGCTCCCCCCACGATGGGCAAAGGCAAGGATACACAGCCAGGGGGCACAGCCTAGGGCTTCTTATACCCTATTTCCTGTGCCCCCAACTCACCTTCTCTAGCACCTGATAAGCCTGTGAGGTCAGCTGTCACCTTGGGTGTCTCCCACTTCTTGGTGCAAGAGCCACTCAGGGAATGGGGGGAGGAGGTGCTCCGCTGAGCCACTCCTGCACCTCCCTGACCTTGTCTGCCTCTCGCCCCCGGGGGGATTAGTGTCCAGGTTACCCCGCCATCCCACCACCCCCAGTGGCCTTGCCGCCCCCACAGCCTGCAAATATAAGACCAGGTAAACACAGTAGGGAGGCACTGAGGATGGAGACGCTCCAGGTAAGACTGTAGGGCCCCTGGGCACCTCACAACTCTATCAGAGCCACAGGTGGCACACGGGAGTCCTGTGACCTGGTGAAGGCAGCCTCTTTCTAGAAGGGTGTGGTCAGCCTGCTGGATCCCTGCCAGGAGGGGAGCGATGGGGCAGGACCTGAGCGTGGGTATCAGGTGTTGGGGTATCTGGGGTCCCTGGGTATCTGGATGGGAGATCAAAGTGGAGGGGCTGGCCCAGCATGGAAGGGGAACAGAGTCCCTGAATGTGTGTGTGCATGGGGACGGGAAGCCAAGAACCAAGGGCAGGTCTGAGGCTGCCCCTGAGGCAGTGGCCTTGTCCCAGGGGCTGCTGCTGTGGCTGCTGCTGAGCACAGGTGGGGTGCGGGCATCCCGGGGACCACTGAGGCCACTGTGCCGGCCCATCAATGTCACCCTGGCTGCTGAGAATGAGGCCTGCCCGGTTTGCGTCACCTTCACCACCAGCATCTGTGCCGGCTACTGCCCCAGCATGGTGAGCAGCTCAGGCCGTGGGGACCAGCCCTGCTGTCCTGAGGACAGGTGCTGAAACCTCAGTGCCAGGCCCGCAGAAGACAGGAGGTGGCAGCGGGGATGGAAGGGTGTCCTGCCCCGCCGGGCAGGGGCTGAGGAACTGGAGCCAGAGCTAGGCGTGTGGGAGGGAACACACAGAGGGTCCCCCAGACACCCGAGTCTGGGATCGGTGGGGGGCAGTGGGAAGCTCCGGGAGGACTCGCCTGGGCAGATGCCCATGCCACTCCCACCCCCTGCCCTGGCCTCCAGGTACGGGTGCTGCCTGCTGCCCTGCCACCTGTACCCCAGCCGGTGTGCACCTACCATGAGCTGAGCTTTGCCTCCATCCGCCTCCCTGGCTGCCCGCCTGGTGTGGACCCAGTGGTCTCCTTCCCTGTGGCCCTCAGCTGTCGCTGTGGGCCCTGCCGCCTCAGCAGCTCTGACTGCGGAGGTCCCAGAGCCCAATCCTTGACCTGTGACCACCCCTCCATCCCAGACCTTCTCTACCTCTAAGGACTGCCTACCCCGACCATCCACGCTCACCCCGATTCCTGGAGCCAGCAGACGCTCCTCTCCTCCCCTCAATAAAGGCTTCTCAAACCGCACCCCGGGGCTGCCTTTCTCTGGGCTCGGGGTGCCCATGCTTGCGTGTGTACACACACACACAAAACGCACACAGATACGATGGGTCCAGTTTCAGAACTATTTTATACAAAGTCACAGTGTCAGAACTCTGGTAGAAAACAGGAGAGGCGGGGTGATGGGGATGTCAGTTCAGGAGGTGTCCATGGTTTCGCCTTCTGCGGGGAGAAAGGAGGCCAAGTGGTTGCTGTGGCCTAGGGACCGAGGCCTGAGCTCTCCAGGCCACGCCCCCTCGCGCCTCTCCCTGTAGGTGACCCTGGGGCCTGTGCAGGTGGGTGACACTCAGCGACTCGAGCTGGGTTCTGCACGGGGGGCGGGGACACTCACTGAGCTCGTTGAAGAGGAAGGCGTCCTGGTACTCCTTCATGTACTGGGTGGAGCGGGACTCGTCCAGAAAGAGCGAGTACACCCTCTTGATGTCGTCTACCTGCACCTCCGTGCCCTGACGGGGACGGCCACAACTCAGTCGGGCCCTTCCCCGGGAGGCAGGTCAGGGCGGGGACTCGGGGCCAGACTGCCTGGGTTCAGATCCCGCCCCGGCCACCTCCTGGCAGTGGGCCCAACCTCTCCATTCCCGTTTCTTCATCTGGAAGATGAACTTAACGGCGTCCACTTGCAGTCGACACACATGTACTAAGTTCCCACCGTGTATCAGGCCAGGAGACACACGCAAACCCGAGACCGAAGTACCCACCTTTGAGACCTACGTTTTGAACTAAGTGAGACCACCCACTCGAGGCCCTTGAGTAGCGGGCTCGGTCAGCTGGCTGACCTTGCGTTTGCGGCACACCAGGCTGGCGGCCGTGATGAGCTGGATGGCGTAGCGCAGTGAAGTCTCCAGCCCGATGCGGGTGAGCACCGTGTAGGCGTCTTCACTCATCTCCACGTCTTCCTCCTCACATCTGTGGGCAGGTGGGGAGCAGGGGCCTCAGCCGGGGCTGGGCTTCTGACGGCAGCAAGCCCCTGGCCCTTCCCCTGGACACTACGCGACCTCCCGGGGAGCAGGTGGTCCTCAGACTCACAGAATACCAAGCTAGAGGGCCATTGAGGCACGGGCTGGGCCTCTGACTCCCTGATCTGGCTCTTTCCCCCACGTCAGTCACCAGTACCCCGCTCCCTTCCTCAAAAGGGCCCCACCCAGCTCAGAGGCCACTGCGCGGATGCCCAGCACTGCCCTTCGCAGGCTGGAGACCTTGGGCCAGTCATCGCCGCCCACCACCCCCGATCTGTGACCCATCTGTCAAACAGGGTGGACAGCAGGCCCACTTCTCAGGCCCGCAGCCGGGCCCTGCCCGCACCGGATGCGGAGGATCTGCTTCGTGTCCTTCTCGCTGTAGGGAGAGGTGGAGACGATGAGCAGGCGGTCCAGCAGGTCGATGGGGATGCCGTGGGGGCTCTGGTAGCTGGTGCCCCGGATGCTGGGGAAGCGGGGGAAGGGAAGCTGTCAGGGCGACGCTGCCAGAATCTCTGTTCCGTCTACTCCGCCCCCTCCAGCGCGGCCCACTCACTGGACCAGATACCACAGCCTTTGGCTCCCAGCCGGCGTCAGCGCCCGCCCGCGTCAATGCGCCGTAGAGCCTGGCTGGTCTGAGCTAGACAGCTGTCTGGGATTACTGGGTCAAGGTCCCACTCTCCTGCCTTACAGAGCTCCAGAGAGGAAGGGACCGTGCCGGTCCTGTTCCCTGCAGCACCCAGTCCAGCACAGGGCCTGGCACGTGGCCGGCGCTAGGAAACACAGGCGACCCCCACTATTGATGGGAGTTATGTTCTACAAAATGCAGGCGAATGCTCCATTAACAAACGTTGAACCACTGAACCACGGAACACACACGGTTCAGTTCTTGTGAGCCTTAGTCACAATATTTTTGTCAACCAACCAGAATATAGCCTGGTTTTATGTGTTTGTTTAGAAACACCTTATTTTACACATATTAATGACTCATTCACGTTGAATTCATGGCCAACAACACTATAATTTGTGTCTGAACGAAGCCCATCTAACACAGCGGTCCCCAACCTTTGTGGCACCAGGGACTGGTGCTCCTATGAGAATCTAATGCCTGGTGATCTGAGGTGCAGCTGAGGCGGTGATGCTGGCGCTGGGGAGCGGCTGCAGATACAGATGGAGCTTCACTTGCCTGCCTACCACTCACCTCCTGCTGTGCGGCCCAGGGTTAGGGACCCCTGATCTAACACATACATTTTCTCTGTAAGCCACATTCCAGCCTCCTTGCACTGAAGGGCACAGGACAGCTAGGGGCCGTTTTAAACAGCAAAATCACCAACAAAAGCATAGAATGTGACAGACGTGGCAGTAAATAAGACACTAATTTACAGCATGCTGATTCAGACCAGAAGGCAGAGCGTCGCCTTGTTTGACCTTAGTTTGGAGTGCCTGTGTCCAGCGACCCAAACTTTTTTGCCACTCTGTACATGTCTGCAAATGACCGCAAAAGTGCTGTGAATACCAATTTGGGGGTTACAGATAAATTTCAGCGAAGAAATAGATTCACAAACTGGAATCTGCAAATGAGTGACTAGATTTGCTGCCTGACGGGAGACGCCCTGTGCAGTTTCCCACGCCCTGAGCTGCAAACACCGTCCTCAGCCCTCTGGAGAGCAAATGCTACATTCGACCCTGGGCAGGTCCGTGGGCCTTGGTGTCCTCATCTGTTAAATGGGGCTGGGACAATATCGACTGCGTGAGCTGCTTCAGAGGGCCCGAGCAGCTCATCTGGGAAAAGTGCCAGCATAGAGCCAGGAAAGCCTGCCGTTGTCCCTGGTGGCCATGCCCCTTGCTTCCCTGTGGTGATAACCAGCCCCACTGGCCAGTTTCAGCTGGCACACGGCTGCAGCACTGGAGATGACGTTTTCGAGCCTCCTGTGCCACCAGGCAAAGCCACACACCCAAGTTGCGCTGGGCAGTGCGCCCCAGTGGAAATGCTGTGTGCGGCGCCAGGACCCGGGAGACTGACGACCCCCTCCCCTCCTCCGGGCTGAAATGCAGCCGAGGTCGGGGGAGAGCTCGCTGGGACAGTGGGCACGGAGCGCTGCCCGCCCTAGGGCAGAGGTTCTCAAGCTTTATCGGAGCCAGGTGCCCTACGTGTCTCTGGAAGGTTCCCACCACATCCTTAGGCCAAAAGGTATGTTCTGTTTACTAAGTTAATTAGGTGTGAGTGACTTAACTATAGTGGTTTGCACGACGTCCAATGCATGTCACCGTGTGTCCCTCAAAAACTTAAACTACCCCACAGAATTTTTGTATTTTACGCAGCACCCTGGGGTACCTCAGCACGCAGTTTGGGAAACGGTAGACTTAAAGGATATAGAAACCAGACAGAAAGAACATGGCCCCTGGGCCTCCCTGCGGAGCAGAGCTGCCCACCCGCCCTGCCCACCCGCCTACCTTGTTCAAGGTCAAAGTATGCCCCTCGCCTGGGCCACGGCACTGTGGGGGCCTCCTAAGCCCACAGCTCCCTAATGAAGTGCTTGGCAAATGTACCCTGTTTACCCTGTGGCGATACCCACCGCCCAGAGCACCCCGTTTTCCCCAGAGGCCTTTAGGCGGCCAGCAGCTGCTCACCGGGTGATGCCGCGGTTGGTGGCCATGATGAGGACGGGTGCCATGTCGCTCTCCAGGGCCCGATTCAGGAAGGAGAAGCTCTCGATGTCCAGCATGTGGACTTCGTCGATGAACAGCACCTGGGAACGGCCGGGTGTGCACCTGGCTCGACACCGCCCCCCGCCACGTCCCCCACCACGGCCCGCCTGCCCGGCCCGCCTGCCCGCTCGTCGATGAACAGCACCTGGGAACGGCCGGGCGTGTGCCTGACTCGACACCGCCGCCCCCTATGTTCCCCACCGCGGCCCGCCTGCTTGGCCCGCCTGCCCGGCCACGCCTGGCGCTCACCCCGGGGATGATCTCCGCCTTGCCCTCCTCACGCCACTCGGCCACCTTGGCGTTGATCTGCTCTCGAACTTCTGACTTGATCTCCCCTGTGTCCCCTGTGGGAGGCGGGGTGGCATGGCGGGGGGCGGAGGTCAGGGAGGAGACAGGGATGCAGGGCCAGTGGGTGGCCAAAGGCAGAGAGCGATGGGACACCAGGGCCAGAGGGAGGAAAGACCAAGATTGGAGGAGCAGAGACCAGAGAGCCGCGGAGGCTGAGACGCCCCGGCCAGGAGGGAGCGCGGGGCCGGGCCCCCTCAGGCCCCCTGAGACAGGGACTCAGCAGCATGGGGGAGGGGTGAACCGCACACAGAAGACAGCCAGCAGGGCTGAGGGGAGGGCAGGGCCGCAGTCGGGGGCGGCCGGGAGGATGCAGGGTGGCGTGGGCGAGTGGGGGGCTGGGCCTCACCGGAGAAGAGGGCCAGGAAGCCCTGGGTGCGGGAGTTGATGACGTCGATCTCGTGCAGGGACACGGTGTGCACCACCTCCTTGCGCTTCTGGAGCTCCCCGTCCGGGCACTGCACGAACTTGGTCTGCAGGGCGGGCGCGGGGACAGGGGTGGAAATGAGGGCGGAGAAAGGCATGGAGGGTGACCCCCGGGGGCTCTGTCTGGGGGAGACTGGGGCTCCCTGGAAAGGGGCTGGGAATCCAGATGGGGTTACCCCGAGACGCGGGGGCCAGAAGGTAGTCGAGGCTAGGCACTCGAGAGCACTGAAGAACATGAGGGTCCCCGGGAGAGCTCAGAAACCACGAGCACAGTGCCAAACTGAGGGGCCCCCACTGTCCTGGAGGGTGCAGGGAAGAACCAGAAGTATCAGCGACACGGGGTTAGGTAGCAGGAGGACCCAGACCCTGTGGGCCACGGGGAGACGCAGCGGCAAACCTGGAGCCTGGGAACGAGGGGGTCCCAGAGCCCCGGCCCACCTGGGAGCCCATGGCGTCGTAGTCGCGAGCGCGCGTGAAGGAGCGCCCCAGCTTGGAGATCTTGCCCGTGGC